TTCGCTAAAAGCCTGAAGATGAAATTTAAATATTTCCAAAAGGTCACAGTTTGTTGCATGTTCATACTCATTTGTATGTGTGGCTGCTCACTTCTGAGTATGCCGATCTGCCAAGGTTACTAGCTAATCCCTGTTGTAGACGCCTGCTCAGGCACATTTGTGTTTGCTCAAAACCCACAGAGACAACCTGTGGTTTATGTTGCAACTTTGCTGAGCAGATCTTAGTCATGGTTTCTGGGGGAGGGCAAATAAAAATTTTGTTTTACTCCATGGCAGCACAAGGCCACATACAGCAAGAACAACACAGAGAAAAAAAAAAAAATTTAAACTCAGTTGATCTGTTTTACCCCGACCCACCATATTTACCTGACCGTGTGCCAACTGATTATTACCTTTTTTGACCACAGCCAAAAAAAAAAAAAAAAAAAAAAAAAACTTTGATGGGAAAAACTTTCTCTAGGGAAAGATCAGATTCAAGAGTTTGTCGAAATTGTTTTTGCATCAAAACCTGTGGAATTTTACTCAAATGGTTTTGAATAGCTGCCTGATGGGTTTGGATTATGTAACTGATTTGTACTTAAAATGGTTGGCTGCTGGTGTCTATCTGTCTGCTTGAATAACTAGCTAATCCTTGTTGCAGACGCCTGCTCAGGCACATTTGTGTTCAATACCTACAGAACTAACTAAGCAGACCTTAGTTAAATTTTCTGAGAAAGAGTGAATAAATTGGCATGATCACCAGCTGGAATAAGGTAAACATACTCAAAACCTCAGCCATGATGACTTGTGATATCATGCTGTTCAGTTATAATGAGTACCTATTTGGGCACATCAAGGTGGTATAATGGTTAGCAAGCTTGTCTTGCTAAACAATTTACAACTGAGTAGTAGTGAGTTCGATCCTCACTGGCTGCCTCCTACTTTCGGCCTTGTGCCACATCTAAGCTATGCTTGGAAAATCACTGGTACCCTGAGGCAGTGTAATGGTTAGCAAGCTTGTCTTGCTAAAACAATTACAACTGAGTAGTGAGTTTGTTCCTCACTGGGTACCCCATACTTCTGGCCTTGTGCCACATCTAAGATATGTTTGGAAAATCACTGTCTTGGGCACAAAGATGTGTAATGGTTAGCAAGCTTGTCTCACGAGAACAATTACAAATGACTAGGGAGTTTGATCCTCACTGGGTACCCCATACTTTTGGCCTTGTGCCACATTTAAGCTACAAAGTGGTGTAATGGTTAGCAAGCTTGTCTCACTAGAACAATTACAATTGAGTAGGGAGTTTGATCCTCACTGGGTGCCCCATACTGTTGACCTTGTACCACATCTAAGCTATGATTAGAATATTGGGCACCTCGAGGTGGTGTAATGGTTAGCAAGCTTGTCTTGCAAGAACAATTATGAGCGAGTAGTGAGTTCAATCCTCACTGGGTGCCTCCTACTATTGACCTTGTGCCACATCTAAGCTACACTTGGAAAATCACTATAGTGAGTACCTATTAGAAGGAGAAGGAAAAAAAATCACTAATTGTTGACAAGCAGTGAACTGGTGATTGGTACAAGCCAACAGAAGGGCTACTGTGGCACAAATTTCAGAGTACTTTAATCAAGCTGAAGAGTTCATAATCACAGTACATTGGTCCTTAATGTGTATGGTGCTATATAGACACAAACTGATCAAAACTATCATCAGAGTTTCCGAAATAACATTGGCTAAGTTTATCAAATTTACCTCTAAGTCAACAGTGTGTCAAAAAGGATGCTTTTTTCTCATGATCCCGCTATTACTGTACACTCCCTCTGCAAATTTTTTTTTTTAGAAATATAATAAAATTCAAACATATGAAACTGAATTTATGCTTTTTTTTCCTTGAGAAATGACAAAAATATTAAATACTATTAAATTGTTTATTTGGAAGAATAATTTCATATTTCCAAAATTACAAAAACATGTGACCTATCTACAATGCAATACTCATTATTTACCGAATTATAAAGAAATAATTATGAAAACAAATTTTTTATTCACAAATTTCTAAAAATATTTGTGAACAAGAAAATTTAAATAAACACATAACGATGAGTAATTGTAATTATAAATTTGGAAAAAATGCATTTTTGGGGTTTTCATTTGCTTTTCACCATATAAATTCAGTAAAATAGACAAGAAAAAAAAATGGATAAATCCAAATGCGTATAAGTCGGTTTTATTAAAATTCTATAAACAGATTTTTAAAACAAAGAGAAGAACCGTCCTTTGCACATGCCAATATGTTGCACGTAAGTTTGTTAAACTTTGCCTCAACATTTTTTTCATCATTCTCCAGTTAATTTTGTGTCATTGTACTCATATTAACTAAAGGGCATCACTTAGTGTTTTCAGAACGGGATTTTGTATCAATGAAAGTAGGTTGTCGAATCCAGTAAGTTTTACTTTCTCCTGAATAAGGTGAGCAGTAGGATGTGGGTGCATCATTATCCTAGGGAAATAATACAACGTAGATGCACTATAGGGAAACAACAAGTTGGGGGAGGTAGTGTAATGGTTTAGGTTATATTCTAATAGGTTGAGTCAAGTAATTTTCTTTTCTGGGAACCAATTGTAATGATGATTGTATCATACTAATGACTAATCATGCATGTCGATTAAGAATAAATGTGGACTGCACCAACATTCTTTAATTTTAACATGCAGTGTACACAGGGGATTAAAGAAAAAATGCTATTCTTCTCTATGACAACACCAGGTCACACATGACAATAATAACACAGGCAAACTTTTTTTTAAAACTCTGTTCTACCTGATTTGCTTTATTCATCTGACCTTGCACTAACCGATTTCATCCTGGGTATGACGATAAACTATATCCACGTCCTGGGTAAGACAATAAACTATGTCCAACAGCAAGGCTTCTGATCAGGAGGTTTTGAGGAGCATGAAACCACCTCTCAATTGCTGGTGTTCCCAGGTCCACCCTGACATGGGGAGTTAGCACCTGTTAGGGTCCCAGCTATGGGTAAAATAGTTAACTCCCAAACTGGGGTCAAAACACTATGAAAGTGTAAAAATAGGTCTTACTATCAGAAATACTTTGTAAAAAAATTGTTACCAGCAATAAATTTTTTGAAGCAAATTTATTACCAGAAATAGATTTTTAAAAAAAAAATTACCAGAAATAGATTTTTTGATGGAAAAAATATTACTACCAATATATGTTTGAAAAAAAATATTACCAGCAATAAAAATTTTGTAGGCCTTAAATAACACATTGTGGTTGATATGCCGTAAAGCAAAGCAAAGCAAACTAAACCACCGATTTCAATTTGTGTATCCTTCATCTGAAATTCCAAAAACCAAAAGATTTTCAGGTGCTGACATGACTTACCATAAATGGAAAATTTCAGAAAACACTGGGAAGGTTCTTAGGTAATGTGCATCTGTTTAACGTCATCTACCCTGGGTGAGGGTTCCTCAATCCAGCTATTTAGTCTACATTGGCACCAGTCTTTTTTTGTTAGAGATCATCACAGCAACACCTTTGTTCATGGATTACTTAGTATGTGTTTTTGTGCTCAGTAAAGATATTAAAAATGTCTAAAAGTCCTGCAGGATACCCATATGGATAGGGAAATAAAAAAGAAAGCAAGCATTTATGTTTACCAATATCACAGAAAGTCAAACTGTTGGTAAAACTAGACAGGGGTTTAGGTGTGAAGCATCTGACTTGGGAGTTTGCCATTGGAACAACCACCATATATGACCTAAGGAAATGGGAGAAATTGTTAGTTTTATACTGAAAATGATGGACAGAAATAAATGAAAAATAAAAAGATATTGTATACTGCAAAAAATGATGATCTCAATGGTTTTATAGATGCTATATACAAATTAAATAGCCTGAATTCCAAAATAAAAATTGGAAAACTGAAGTACTTTTGGTCCCAAGAATTTCGGATAAAGGATTCTCACTCTGTATTACCTTTTTTGATCACTCCAAATCATGTTGATAGGTAAAACTTTCTCACTTGAAAACCAGATTCAAAAGTTTGTCAAAAGCATTTTCACAGCAATCTTTTACTTAAATAAGTTGCAACAAGTTATTGCAAATAATGGTGAATATATAAATTGAATAAAGTGTTGTTTTACTTCATTTCTTGAAAAATAAAATTGATAAACAAAATGGAAATTATTTCTAACTCAACCTAATAGTTAGAAACACTGTCTTGCCTTCAAATGGAAAGTACTTGGTTGTGCACAATATAATTGAAAGCCATGTAGACTTATGGAAGAAGTCTTCTATAATGGCAGTATATAACTTCCTGAAAGACAAGTGTGTCCTGCCACAGTTCAGAACTTCTACAGGAATAATTTCTAGAAAACAAAATAGACTATACTGTATTTCAATGGTTATTGCAGCCTACTGAACTTAATCTTGTTGAACATATGTTGGCGGCTTACAGCCACATCACATTGTAGTTTCCGTACAATCACTGAAGTTAACATCGAGCTTGATCAGTACCTAGACTAATGACCACTTGGAAATAACAGATGTTGTAATCTTGGATGTGCAGCTGGTGTAATGAATAGCTACGTGAAATTGTTAATTGGAGAGCTGGGTTCCAATTACAGTTGGGTTCATTATATTCACTTGGAAAAAGGTATAAATCTACCTTTTCTCCCCCCAGCTATGGGTTAATTAGTAAGAGTTGTATCGCTAAATCCTCATTATCTAAAAAAAATTCTTACAATCTAAAAATGTTTTCAGGCTTTAATTAACTTGCAAAGAGTTGATAAGCTGTAAAAAAAACAAATCGACCAATCAATCAAAATGCGTTGATGAGGGAAACTTTCTTTCATGAAAACCAGATTCAAGAGTTTGTCAAAACATGCAAAATTTTACTTAAACAATATCAAAGAACTGCCTGATATATGGCAACATTTTATTGCAACCTACCGATCTTAAACTTGTTGAACATATGTTGGAGGCTTACAGCCTCATCATGTTGAAACATTGGTTCCCATAGGATCACTGAGGTTAAGCAACATCAAGTCTGGTCAGTACCTAGATGGGTGACTGCTTGGAAATACCAGGTGCTGTAAACTTGGATGTGTGGGTGGTGTAATGTATAACAGCTCGGAATTGTTAATTGGAGAGCCAAGTTCCAATCCCAGTTGACTTCTTTATATTCACTTACTCGCAAATAGCTTTGGGAAAAATATGACTCCACCTCTTCTCCAGCTAGAAATTAGAATTATTTAAATTTTAAATCAATTTCACCATTTTAGATTATATTATTAAGTAAAAACTATATTTACTAATCAAATGGAAAAGTTTAGTACAAATCATCAAACCCCAGTATTTTTAAAAAAATTTAAAAATTTTTTCTATGTGTATAAATGTGTTGATCTTTGTAAATATGGAAGTTTATACATGACATTATCAGAAAATAAGAACAATAACTATAGTAAATTTAAAGCCAAAATTTCTAAAATTCAATAAAACTTTGGATTAGAGTGAATATTTTCCTAAATTTTTAAGATTACTGATTACTTAAAAATTATATATAAAAGGAACTCACATTATAGTGGTTTTCCAAGTGTAGCTTAGATGTGGCACAAGACCAAACATATGAGGCACCCAGTGAGGATCAAATTCTCTACTCATTTGTAATTGTTCTAGCAAGACAAGCTTGCTAACCATTACACTGCCTCAGGGTGACCAAGGCACTCACATATCAATTATTTTTTATGGATAATGTCCCAGTAGAACAACATTAGATAAATCTCTCATCACATGGGCAGATTAAATAAACATTTACTGATGTGTTAAAAAATGTATTTCTGCAATATTTTAAACTTAAAGTAAGTAATATTTGTTTCAAATCAGATTAATTATATTTTAAATAAGCTAATATTCCTCAAATAAAATTCCAGAAAAGCATATTTTATTTTTGGTATATTTTTAATAAAGAGAATTACATTGTGATAAATGTGGAATAAAAATGGTGCTGAAAACCTATCTTTTTAGTAAAAAAAAAATAGTCTTGAAACAGAGCAAAGTATTTTGCTTCTTGGAAATATTAAATTTAACTTGAAATAAAAACAAAACTTAAAGCTTCAAGAAAGATTTTTCATTTCTAAAAATTAATTTTGAAATTTAGTCATCATGAATCTGTTGAGGTACCTGCCTGGGTGGCAGCTATTTTTAGGGGTGCATGAAGGATTATCATGGTTTGGTTTGTTTTATGGCATATCAACCACAATGGGTTATTTAATGCATCAATTTTTATTGCTGGTAATATTTTTTCCTACAAAAATAATGTATAGCTGTTAATATCTTTTTTACAAAGTATTTCTGGTATTAAACCTATTTTTACATTTTCATGGTGTTTTGACCCAAGTTTGGGGGTTAACTATTTGCCCATAGCTAGGGCCCTAACAGGTACTACCACCCGGGTCAGGGTGAATCTAGGAAAACCAGCAATTAAGACGTGGGTTCATGCTCCTCAAAACCTCCTGATCACAGGCCTTGCTGTTAGATGTAGATTGTTGTCTTATCCAAGACGCAGATATAGTTTATCGTCATACCCAGGACGGTTGAGAAATAAGAAATTATAATGTAGATATCAAGTGGGGGGTCAGTTTTATATTACAATCAATATATAAATTGATCTCTCAGTTTGCAGACATGGTTATTTCCGTACATTTATATTCCAGAGAATGTAAATAAAATCTGAAAGATATGTCTGTGTGGTTAATCAGTATATGACTGATGTTTTTTCTATGGCTTATTAACCCATTACAGGTTATTTAAAGCCAGAAAATATTTTTATAGTGTACAAATTTTTTGGTGAGATGATGATTTAGTGATAAAACTCTAATTAACCAATAGCAGGGAGGAGTAGAGGTAAATTTATACCCCTTTCGCAAGGCATGTAAGGGGTATATAATGAACTCAACTGGAATTGGAACTTGGTTCTCCAATTAACAATTCTGAGCCATTATCCATTACACCACCTGCACATCCATGCTTACAGCAGTTGGGATTCCCAATCAGTCACCCATCTAGGCTCAGTGTTGTAATGGTAATTAGTAATTTTTTATTAATTCTGTTTGTGTTATATATTTTTGAAATGTCTTTACCTGATTTTATATTTAGCTATATAAATTATGTGAAGGATGTAAATTCTCATCTCTTTTAAATATGAAATCATAATAATAATTTGGATGGAAGTAAAATACCTTGTGTTATACATATTTTTTAAATGTTATTTGTTTTATGCATGCTACTTTTCTGTCTGAATTTCTGGGATGAGGAGTTATTATTTACGCTATTTATATTCGAACTATTGTCCTCAACTTTTTGTTATCACAATGCTTCAGCTTTTGCACCCTTCACCCTTTCCCAGGTCTATATTGATCTGGGTAACATCCAGGAAATTCTGAACTGAACCCTTTATTTAATCTACAGGGACAGACTGTTCTTGTTCAACTTCTCATGTCCAGTGATATTGTCTAGTACTTATTTTATTTACTGCTGTTCAGTTATTGCTCACCAATTTCCTCTGAGTGCAAGTACACACTGCCCAATGACACTCACAATCATTATGTCACCAAATTTCACAAACTAATGCTTTAATTCACTAGGCTATTGTCCCATAAATCAATTTGCTATCGTGAACTTGCAGCTTTAAACCTAAACCTGTCTACTGATCAGGTGACAACTGCTGCTTGTCATGTTTTGACTGCTGCTACTGCTGCCCATGTCTTGATTGCTACTGTGGTTGAAGACTTGCTGTCATTTGTCGTTCTTTATTAGTGGCTCCCTTTTTGTATTTATCCTCATAACCTAGTATATGTGCCAGTTCTTTCAGACGTTTAATTCTCCAGTGTTCTTCCTTGTCCAGTATTTTCACGTCATTCCACAGGGGCTGATGATTACTCTTTCCCCTCTATACATGATCAGCCATGCCTGATTTCATTGTCTCACCCTCACACTATGGCTTTTCAATGTTCTTCCAGCCAGATCAATATACATCTGAGGAAATATTGTTTGCTTTATGCATGCTAAGCTGTTTCATTGGTTAACCATTGCTACTATTGTTTACAGTTTGTCTTAGCCAAACTAGCACAAAACAACAAAGGTTAAATATAGTTTGCTGCTAGGATCGTGTGTTCAATGATGGTAAGTCAGCTGGACAAGATGGTATGATGCTGAAAGACCTAAAACTATGAATGAATTTAGGTTTTTTTTTGGAGATAATAAGGATTTTAGTGGTACACATCTTACTAATTAATCCATAGCTAGAGGGAGAAGAAATGGAGTCCTATCTTTCTCACAAGTATTTGCATGTAAGTGAATATAACAAAACCGAATGGAATTAGATCTCTGCTCTTCAATTAACAGTTCCAAGCTATCATTCATTACATCACCCACAAATCCAAGCTTACAGCACCTGGTATTTCTAAGTGGTCCCCAATCAAGGTGCTGATCAGACTTCAACATTGTTTAACTCTGGGGATTATACAAGGACTGGTGCTTCAACATGATGTGGCTGGAAACCGTGGGTAGCATAATGGAGAAAACAGTTGAGTTTGATTTCCAGTTGAGTCTGTTACATTCACTTGCATGCAAATACCCTTAAGAAAAGTAGGAATCCATATTTTCTCTTCCCAATTATGGGCCAAATAGCAAGGTACACTAGGCTCACAAGCCATGGTTGACATCCAGTCTAGGAGAAAGTCAACTCTGAATTCAAAACCATAATCATGGTGCGTGCTGACCGGCTGATAATTATAATCTTCAGTTCACTAAGGTGGTAATAAATAGACCTGAAACATAACAGGCTATGTTAGCTGCCTGATAATCGTATGTCCCAACACATAGGAAAGTAACAGTCATGAGTGGTCAAATAACACCTTTTATGATGATGGAATAGGATTTCACCTGGGTGGTGTAATGGAGAGTTGAGTTCAAATTCCTGTCAGGTTCATTAAATTCGCTTACACACTCATGCTTTTGGGAAGGTATGAATCCATCTCATCCTACTCCCGGCTATGGGTTAAATAACAGGACTTTTATTTGCAAAAAATCGTTGTTCTCAAAAAATTGTTTATGTAATATTCACTCACAAAAAAAGAATTACAATACAAAATATGTTTTGGCTTTAAATAATACACAAAAGATTCATAATCTATATATAAAAAAAAAAAACAGTCAATATTGCATGTGGGTTTTCTACATTTTGCTTCTTTTCATTTTTTTTTTCTTTCGTTTTCTACTTCATGAGAAGATTTGGCTGGTCCTGAAGTGAGAATTGTTTCTTAAATTATTGGAGAGCCAAGTTCAGCCACATTTATTATATTCACAACACGGAATTCCTTGGAAATTTTATGAATCTATCTCTTCTTCACCCATCTATGGGTTAAATAGCATAGTAGACTAGGTTCTCTAGCTATGATTGGCAATCAATTTAAGAGAATGACAACTCTGAATTTTAAAGTGGCATGTAGCCCTGTGACCAAATCATAAGTTGCCCTTTGGCAAGGCATAGCACTCAGAGTTAAGGTGAAGACCTCAGCAGCAGAATGTTGGATCTAGTCAATGGCAGATTCTAATGGACCAGATTTGTGGCATTGAACTGTAATGGTGTAATGCAAATATATATATGGCAACCAAGAGACCTGGGTTCAAATCCTCTCATGGTTGATTTATCTGGAAGGCGCCATCTTTATGCTATCAGCCACAACATGCAGCATCTTTGGAAAGTGCCTGAAAACCATACTATGTGTTGGCCCACGCCTTGTAATTAAAATTGGGTAGACGGAACTATTTTGAAAGTCATCGATGGTTGTGCTAGCACGAAGTCACAAGTCATTGTGACCGAGGGGTTGAGCGTGCAGGCCTTGTTCAGGCTGTTGATCATGCCAGGTAATGCGCACTTTCACAGAAACTGAAACTAAGGTCAGCATAGTTGTAGCATAAACAACAGGTGGGGTGTTGAGCAAGCTCTAATGTGCCTGAAGAGGTGTCTGCAACAGGGATTGGCTAGCTTCACCAGTAGACAGGCATACTAGGATACGAGCGGCCAGCCACCACC